TACCTACATGCAGTAAATTCTTCATCGCTCCCGGCCATCCAATCTGGAGATGTACTGTCTACTACTACTGTCACCTATGCTCCATGCTTGATTATCATGGAAAAAATACTTGCTTGTCGATTCTCCCTGTATCCAAGGACTTCTTGATCAACTGAGAATAAGAATTTGTAAGCCCTGCCAAGGCATATATAAGTCTACTTTTGTTTCCATTTTAACACCAGATATAAATGCCATGTGTACCGTTTGTTATTTGGGATTTTCTTTGACTCTTTCTGCCTCCAGTATATGAAAAGCTTGAGAAATGTCTGCTGTGGCACATCTTGGAATATTTTATTCTTTAAGCTGGCTTTAAGAAAGGAAGAAAAGTGTTTTTGTATAGTGAACTCTTTACCAGTGCTACTCATAATCCCTTGGCACAGCATCTAGTGCTGGAGGAAAGAACTCTTGGGGTGTCTGAGCTTCGCCGAGGAGACAGTCTGATGTCATTGGTGGCAGACACAGGACGTATGTATCTGTGTTTTGTCTGCACCACCTGTTTTTCTCTTTACAGGCTATTGTTCATATTTGTTCTTCTCTCCCTTCCAGGAAGTGTGCCTCTCCATAGGAGCATGGCCTTTTGGTGTTTAAAGGACTGAGCTAGCATTCTAACGTGATTTCCCTCTGTTCTCTTCTTCCTAGAATCTTATGGCAAGGGCCTTATACGACAATGTCCCAGAGTGTGCTGAGGAACTGGCCTTCCGCAAGGGAGACATCCTGACTGTCATAGAGCAGAACACAGGAGGACTGGAAGGATGGTGGCTCTGCTCCTTACATGGTCGACAAGGCATTGTCCCAGGCAACCGGGTGAAGCTTCTGATTGGCCCCATTCAGGATACCCCCTCCAGTCAGGACCAGCCTACTTCTGGGCTAATGCACCAGACCTTTGGCCAACAGAAGCTCTATCAAGTGCCAAACCCACATGGTGCCCCTCGAGACACCATCTACCAAGTGCCACCTTCCTACCAACATCAGGGAATTTACCAGGTCCCCACTAGCCATGGTACCCAGGAACAAGATGTGTATCAAGTACCACCATCAGTGCAGAGAAGCATTGGGGGAGCTAATGGTCCCCACTTAAGCAAAAAGGTGAGTGAGCGACCTACTGGATTTTTGTTTCTACTTACTTGTTTCCATTGCACTCAGAGCGGTAGAAATGTTCCCAGAAAACTTGAAACTTGCAAGAAGTAAATATATCTTCCAAAGAGTAAGTATACCTACATACCTGAACTTGAGCATTGGTTCTGCATCATTTTTCCATTCATTGGTCAGCAAAACTTTGTTCCCATGTCATTATAAGTTCTTGTGTCATTCCAGATCATACTGGATCATTAAGTTGTTTCTGTCTTTCTGATAGATCTGCTTTTAGACCTAGGTTCTACACTCAAATAGTTTCCAGTCTTTTCTGTTTCCTCCTTGAGTGGTACAAGGCCCCAAATTTCGCATAAGTACAATGATGCAGAAAGGACTCTCCTTTCACCAAAAGCTGAATCATGACCCCACTGGGCTGGCTGCACAAAGAACCCACCAAAAGTAAAGGGAGCAAAGAAGCTCAAAGTGGGTCATGCCAACTAACTTTTCTGTAGAGTTGTTAGTTTCAAGGTTGTCCAATTAATACATATGGATACTAGTGAATTTAGAAAGGAGCCATCCTCTTGTCCTTCAGGTAATTCCTATAATAATGCCGAGCCAGTGGGTGAAAACAGTAGAGCTAGAATAGTTAGGAAACCACTTTGTTAAAAAAAAAAAAAAAAGGAAGTACCTCTTCAGCACTCTGTATCATTCCAAACGTCACAACAATTTGACATAAATAGAAATTTGTTCATCAAATTAATTTTAAGCATTTAGTATATATATATTTTAAAGATTTTTTTAAGTAATTTCTACACCCAACGTGGTGCTTGAACTCACAACCCCAGTATCAAGAGTCACAGGCTCTACCAGCTGAGCCAGCCAGGCAGACACCCTTCGTTTAGTATATTTCTGATGCTTGTGATACAGTGATGAACTAAAGAGTGAACAAAGCCTTCATGATGCTTACATTGTAGTGGGGAGACAAGCAAACACTGTAATGTCAGGTGGAAATACACACTGGAAACAAAATAAGGTTAGTCAACTACGGGGGTAATAGCCAACACGAAGATCATGCTTATGTGAGCATTACAAGGGAGGACTTTTCTCTTTCGTTCGCCGGCAAATTCCAAGGGCCTACAGTGGGTCCTTTGAGGTTTGGTGTTAAGAATGGACTGATTTAATGGAATAAGAAAGAAGGGAAGACGCAGTTAGATACAAGAAGGAGCTTGCTGGCTCCGAGAACACTACATATGCGTGTGTCCTGGCTCAAGAAAATCTTTAATACAAAGGCTGAATTTACAAACCCAAGTCAATTACAGAATATCTACTTGCATGATAATGGACTTCTCTGCTGGACCAAAAAGGGGGGAGAATCACTGTTGGAGTCCTTAAAATAACAAAAGCATGAACGTATTTTCAAATCACCTTTTATACAAAAGGTATGTACTACACACCATTGCTCAAGAGCACCTGTGTTGCGTAAGCCAAGCGCAGGCATATGAGAAGAAGGGGTGACTTGTTTTGCCCAGGCCAATGCTCACTGTCTGGAGGCAAAGTGACTCCATCATGACCTCTCAAAGTCCTTCGGACCCCAGGGACTTTAGATTCAAAGGGAAAGCCAAACCAAGCCCCTTTATCTCCAGAGGGAAAAAAAGAACAGGCGAAAGGTGTAACTATAAATAAATAATTTCTCTCATTCTAAGTCCTGGTTGTTTGCACCTTAAAAATAGCTCTCCCTCATCTGAGCTAGTGTGAGGCAGACAAGGGAGACCAGAACAGGAAATGCTTGGCTGAACGTTGGTGGGGTCTAAACTTTCATCACAGTTTATTTTGGCAGGAAGGTGACATGTTTTCCTTTTTAGACTCAACCTTTTTAGTTCCAAGTCTGAAAAGCACTTCAGACTTCTTCCCATTTTATTTGCTGGAACTGCACTGCAGATTTGCTCCTTGACCCTCCAACCTTTTAAAGAGGAGAGACTTTGACCACGCCTTCCCTTGGATTGATGTTGGGGTGTGCACTCGAACCCAATGTTTTGTTTGTTTGTCTAATTCTAAAATCAGTGGAACATTTTATGCTTACCAAAAGGTAGATGATTCCTGGAGGAGGAAGCCAGCTTCTGAACCACACCTCTGCCAGCCTTACAGGGGAGGACTTTACCAGAACTGAGAAGTAGATAATGCCTGCGGTGCTAAGCTTTGAGCCATGGGGGGTCCAAAATGGTAACATGGCAGCAAGGACGGGAAGGGCAGGAGGGAATGGTCCCGGCTCCTCCCTGCCAAACACCAAGTGTTCTGCAGGATATCCTGACCTCAACTTGAAAGTCATCCGAGTGCCTCTGGTCCCCTAGGCTGACCCCCTGCATCATGTCCACTGGGCCACTGGCTCGAACCTCCATGGGTATAAGGAGGAAAAACTTCTTCCTTCCTTTCTCCTTCCTCTTTCCTCTCTCCCTCCCTCTCTCTCGTGCTTGCTCTCACTGTTGCTCTTTCTTCCCCTCCCCCGTTCTTTCACTTTCACCTTCCTTCTCTCCTTCCTTCTTAGTGGAGATGGCTTGGCTGCTAAAAGGTAATTTTAACCTTCTAGATAATAGTTGTTTAAAAAACTTCTGTCAACATCTTCCTCTGTGTAGGGGTCTTCTCAGTGGGTGAGAATCACACTAATGACTTAAGCCAAGGCCCCCAGAGTTAGTCTCAGTACAGCAACCTTCAGGCAGGCTTTCTGGGTTTTGTTTTTGTCTTCGGGCTTTTTTTTTTTTTCTTTCCGTTGTTATTGTAGCTGACTTAGTGAATAGCCCTATACCCATTTTTCTCTTTACTTTCCCATCGGTAAAATGGTGGTAAGCCCAGAACTAGACATTTCTGGAAGTTTAAGCTATGGTCCTTTAAAGCTATTAAAGAAGAAAAGAAAGAGGAGGTGGATCTTGTTCTAAACCATGGAAGTGTGGTTTAAAATGTTTAGAGAACAGGGGCGCCTGGGTGGCTCAGTCGGTTAAGCGACTGCCTTCGGCTCAGGTCATGGTCCTGGAGTCCCGGGATCGAGTCCCACATCGGGCTCCCTGCTCAGCAGGGGGGCTGCTTCTCCCTCTGACCCTCTTCCCTCTCGTGCTCTCTATCTCTCATTCTCTCTCTCTCAAATAAATAAATAAAATCTTTAAAAAATAAATAAATAAAATGTTTAGAGAACATACGAATCATTTGGAGAGGTAGGGAAGGTGAGCTGAAATGCAGACTTCCAGGCCTTTCCCACCAGGAATTCTAATCCTGGGGCCTGGAAATCTGCCCTGGCGTGAGCTCGTTAGCTAGTTCTGGGGGAGGTGACCCAGGACTGCATTTTGAGAAACACTGTGAAGTGACCATGATGGGGGGTTGGATATGTTCCAATCTGATTGTGATTTGGGACTTTCCATAGTTAAAGATTCCCTTGATGTTGCTACAGACTGTGGGCTTCAGGAGTTTTATCCACAACAGTTTTTTCCATGAATGAATCATTTAAGAGGAAAAAAAAAAATTCTGCCTTCTATCACTTCAACTTTGCTCTTTGGGAAACTGCAGCCTCTATCCACCTAAGACACCTCTACTCATCCCAACCACATTAAGTGCCATGTATCACTTATTATATCAGCAGTTAGAAAAAGGAAGGTATTCCTGTCATGCCCACCCTTTTATGAAACAAGACAGCATGAGTGTGGTGCGAAGAGCATGGGCTTTGGGGCTAGGCTGACCCCGGGCTCTCTTCCTTCATAGCTGTCAATCCTGTGGCCAGTTCCTCAACTTCCCTAGGCTTTGGTTTCTCCACCTGTAAAATGGGACTAATCACAACTATCTCACAGAGTTCTTGTGAGAATTCAATAGAACAACATACAGGAAGGACCTGGCCCAAGGCTTAGCACGGCGGGGGCTTAAAAAATTAGTTCCTCTCCCTTGTTTGTCTTTCCTTCCTCAGAGTTTGTTTTGAACGGCCTCAGCCCTGTTTGTGTTTCTAATTGTGCATCAAATATGCAAATACTTCCCTGCTAACACATAGGCTGTTCCCTCTGAGTGCGGGGCTCTCTCTCTCTTGGGTTCTACAAGAACTTTGCACAGAGTGGAAAAGAACTCTTAGTTACCTGGAAACCATATACACTGACACCTTTCTTAATTTCCTTGGTCTTTTGCCCTGTGGGTTTCGGGTGCAGTGCCGTTTTATCCGTTAGGCATTATGGGCAGAATGCCCAGGACCTGCAAGAATGTTTGAGGGCCCCCCTCCCCCCAAAAAAATTTTGACTCCAAAGTATGAAACACAAAATATATAATATTAATATATATTAATATAAATATAATAA